TTTATCCTCCTTATGTTATGAATTAGCTTTCTTGTCGTCATTAATAGCTAAAACCAAGGTCGGCCCTTCCGCATAAGGCCTCGAATAAAAAAATATAAATATGAAGGAACGAATCAGTGGATTGAAGAATTCAAGCCTTGGTATTGGGTTTAACACTATTCAATACTAAATATCTACTTAGTGAGTGCCCTATCCTTTTCACTGAAAGTCGTGGCTATCATTGGTCCAACCAGATCTACGGCAAAAGGAAATGAAATAGGCACTACCAAATCCAATGACTTTGATTTGTCCATACCATTCTGTCATCGAGTGTTTCCCTAACTCTCCCTTAACAACTAAAAGTCATACCCTTTGCTAGTTGATTTCGACTTGAACTTACCTTTAGAGATTCTCGTGGGAAACTGCAAAAAAAGATTGAACATGTGGGAGGATCCATGGAAAATATCGCAAATCTCATCCTCTAAAAAGGAATCCCTTCCCAAAAAGAGAGTGAAATCTTCCGACCATAGAGTCAGACATTTAAAAGCTTGGACAGCTTTCAAATGCCTTCTAAATTGAATTTATGTATTATAAGTCAACAAGGATTCTTCACTTCATTTGTTTTGTCAAGGTGAAACTGGCTCTCAGGTTTGGTCTTATTGAAAGGTGTTATTAATGTTAGTTTTGTTCTATTGTGACTTGGTCGTCAAATGGTAAGGCTAGCTGTATGAATCTAGATAGAAGTATACCTTGATGGTCCCCCATAATACGCTCACTTGGGCACTTTGCGAAAAGAGTGTCTGAGTCCCTCTTCCTTTCTTGAACCTGTGAGAACACTCTAAGAATATGCTAGCAAACCTATCTTACTAATATAATAAGAATTAAGGGCCTATTAAGCCCTACGGTTGTAAAGCTACAGCTCGAAAGTCGGCCTTACCTTCTATGTTTTTAGTAAAGGTCCTTTTCAATAAGGCTCGCGCTAGGCGTCATGTTTTTTTTCTTTTCCTTAGGGAAAACCCCCCAGAAAACTCCTCCACATAGTGAGTGCGATCCACAAACTGACGCATGGGACAAGTTAAATTGGAGGTGCAGTCTTGTAGTCAGTGGATGGGAGGTCTTGCAAAGCCTTCTAGCTCTTACCCTTCTGCCTTTCGAATATCCCTTCCTACTTCTTCATACATTACAATCTCTCTTACTGGAGAAGCGCTAGTGAAAGGGTACGATCTAAACCCAAATTCAGGTGATGAAACATTTGTAGTTAAGTGTCTGACTCTACTGGTTACCAGTTCATATCTTTGTTTCATATGTTCCACGGAGGGGTAGTTAATGAGACCTCGAGTTCCAACGTTCTAGCTTGCATTATGCCAATATGTCCCACCCCTAACTCGATGTTTTAATATAGGGGCTCGAGTTCGGGCTGCCTAGAGCCTTTCCAATTGTTTGTTCAGTGGTCATAACGTAATTAGTTAGTGGGGAAAATATTTTAAATTCTAAAGTGACTCAGTTGAGATGATTATTTCTTAGAGTCCATTTGTTTGTTCAATGGTCGATAAGCAAGTGAATGGGGATGGTGTGCGGTGAAAGGAACGGTTCATCCCATACTTTCTTTTGCCTCACGTGGAAAGTTAGCACTTGTAACCACAAGGGTGGTGCTTGGTTGGTTTGAGCTTGGCTCCAAAGTTCAAAAGTATCTGGAGGTCCAAGATTCAAATCCAAGGAGGAATAAAAATCCCCTTGTGATCACGGAGGTTCAAATGCGATGACTTCGGGCTATCTGCAAAGCAGGTGGTCGCCCTGGGATTAGTCGGCTCGCATAGCGGGTTGGATATCCAGGTTAATAAAAAAAAAGGTCAGCACTAGTTGTACCTCACTCTTGTCTTCAGTGGGGTCCTTTTCATTTGTTCTCAGTTACTCATCAAATGGCACAAGTTACCCGAAGTCCTTTGAAGGTCTTCTTGCACAAATGGCTTTATTTAGATCATAGAAACCGGTTCTTTGGAATAGTTGCAGCATCGTTATAGAACTATGATCTACGACCACGCTCGTTGCTACAGTATAAAAAGAGATAGGCTAGCTGAAGAGTATGTAATGCATGCTTCTGATCCATCATCCAATAAAAAAAGCGAATAAAACCTGGCGAAAAAGGGTTTTAAGCGACGCTTTTTTTTTCTTTCCTAACAGTCCAACGTTTCGGATGTTTTCCATTAAAAAGAATGAAACCTCTGATCATTTCATAAAACGTATATGCTTGAACCTGCGAAGGGTTGTGAGGCTGGGCCAGGTACGAAGAATGACCCTTTACTATTTTATCTGTTAACAACTCTTCTTTTGACTATGATTTGGCCCCATAGTGGTAGAACCTGGTGAACCAGACATACTATTTTATTTTGCTTGCTTTTTCTTCAGGAATGGTTCTGTAGTTAAAGCAACTTCATCACTTTCGTGTACCCATTAAATGATAGCCAGGAAAGCGTTCAGGCTTACTACTCTAATGGTTTCAAGCAAGACCTAGCCTGTGCCATTTTACCAAATATGAAAGCGAATCACAAGACATGCGGATTTCCTACCATTGAAGGAAATAGATCAAACTGCAAATCCCATCCACGCCGTAAATGTTGATCCAGTAAAGTAATGCCCCCTATGCCGTAAGGTTGAGCCCCTTTTTTGCTTACTATGCTTGGGACATCCTGATTTGATGAAAATCCAATGAAGTTTACAAAATTGAATCATCAGGTAATAATCTCTAGTGTAGCATCTATAGTTTATATTGTGGATTAATTTATTGATAATAATCTCTTATTTTGTTTAATGCAGCTTTATACACGTGTCATCTCCACACACGGCCGAAGCATTGTCACAAGCTATAATAGAGTGTCTTCTCGATTGGAATGTCGACAACAGTAAATATTCGCCCACGAAAACTTTATTTTCTTGGATTGCTAAAATTTGGGTGAATCAGCTGTCAACTTTGACTCTTGACAATTGCTCGACAAATGATGCAATAATCAACAAGCTTTTAGGTACTCTTTCTTCTTAATCGCTAATGTTAAAAAGGAAGATATTTCATATAAGATGTTGTGCACATATAATTAACCTTATTGTGCAAGATGGATTTTCTATAGTTGGATTAGCTATTGAAAATGTTAGGGATAGTGTTGCATTTTGGACAAACTCTCCTAAGAAAAAGTATAAGAATTTAAACTATGTGCATGACAATTAAGTATAAATTATGAAAAGGAATTAGTTCTTGATTGCAAGACAAGATGGAATTCGGTATATCTTATATTAAATGTTGCTTTGAAGTAAAAGGATGTCTTTTGTCGTTTGACCAAGAAGGAGAGAAGTTATGTTTGCTTGCTTAGTGAAGATGAATAGGCAATGGCGTCAATTGTTTGTGAAAAGTTAAAGTTATTTTATCGTGTGACTGAAAAGTTTTCGGGAACATTATATCCTACGTCAAACATCTTCTTCCCGTTGATTTGTGAAATTAAAGTGTCTTTGTTGAGTTGGAAAAATTTTGATCGTGATGTTATTAGGGAAATGGCATCATTAATGTTGATCAAATTCAACAAATATTGGAGTGTCATACACGAAGTTATGAGTATAGCAATTGTGTTAGATCCTAGATATAAGTTGAAGTTAATAAATTATTTCTTTCCGAAAATCTATGATGGTGAGGCAAAAAGTGAAGTTATGAGGATATGTAACCTATGTGTCGAGTTGTTTGAAGAGTATAAAAAAAAAGTATGCTGACAAACCTTCACAAAAAGGACAATCAACTGCTAGTTCCTTAGACGTAGATGATTTCACTTCTGACAAACCTACATGGGAGATACATTTTGAGTCTATGATGTGTGATGATGATGTCTTGAAAACAAGTGAATTGGATGATTATTTGGCCGAAAAATTGTCACTTATTGAAGAAGGTTTTGACATCTTAATGTGGTGGAAATGCAATGGATCCAAGTTTCCTATGCTCCAAAGAATTGCTAGAGACGTTTTAGTCATACCAATTTCTATGGTAGCTTCTGAATCCGCTTTTAACATGAGCGGTAACAGAATCACAAAACAACGTAGTCGACTACACTTACAAACAATTGGAGCATTAATGTGCACTCAAAGTTGGTTACAAAAATAACTTCAAGGTAAAAATATTTAAATTCTTAGTCACACTAGTATTTATATTTTTTCCAACTTGTCTTACTTTTTATTGATAAAAAACATGGAGAGCCTCAACCATTTGATGAAACAGTCATATATGATGCGAATGCCGAGTAACAAGTGATTGTGCTATTTTTTAGATGGTAGATAATGTGTAAATTTACAATGGTGGTGTCTGATTGGTTTGAGCTTGGCTCCAAAAGTCAAAAGTACTAGGAGGTCACAGGTTCAAATCCAAGAAGGAATAAAAATCCCTTTGTGGCCAAGAAGTTTCAAATGGGTGACTCCGGGCTATCTACAAAGCAGGTGGTCACCTGAGATTAGTCGGCTCGCATAGTGGGTTGGATTTCCAGGTTAATCAAAAAAAATTACTTGATATATTTTGGTCCTTTTAGATATTACTCGATGTAGTTTTAGTACGTTTGACTTTAACTTTGATAATATTAGTTTAAACTTTTTGGTCTTGTCTAAGTCTTATTTTAATATTTTTGTAGTGTTTTTACTAGTTCAACAAGTAGTAATATTTTATAGTTTTTTGGTATTAAAATAAATCCCCGTTCCCCGTTGGGGACGAGGATGTGATCATAATCCCCAGCGGGGACGAGGACACATACAGGGACCGGGAACGGGGATGGGTATTGGTATCCCCGCCCCATTTCACCAACAAAACATTACATCGATCGCGTGATTTCAAATGGGGAAAAACAAGATTTTTTAGGAAACGGTTGATAAGATAATTTATATAATTAATAAGATAATCATGGAAGTTAAAAATAAGTGGTTAATATTAGTGAGAGTTCCTGACATCAAACTAGAAATATGATCAAAATACGAGCACAAAAAAACAACCAAATCACATATGATTTAACATGCGACTAACTTGAAATGATTTCAAAACCCATAACGTAAAACATTCACATATAACATCGACCCTATTAGTCGATACGTCTATAAACAACTTCGAGATCTTGCTATGATAAAGTGTGACGGAAGAACTACAACACCACGGTACCTACACGAAATCTATCCAAGCGGTTCAAGATTTTTACAATACAACCTACAAAAACCATTTGGTCGATCTCTTTAACGTACGAACTATATGAATCTTCTTTTTGAAGTATATAATATTTATATACGGAAATTACTTACACGCACTTCTTCACCTGTAGTGAGGTTGCCTTGACCTCCCGGGAGATTGGACCCTACTCGTAACCCAGCTAGCTTTTTGGTTGAATTTTATTATCATCTGGGAAGCATTTGTGATATACTATAAGAACTACTAACTTGAGGTAAACTGGTTACGAATGGATTTAGCGACTGTTTGCCATTGACTGCTCGGGATTTCGTTGTTCCCACTGAAACACCATCATCGGACTGACGACAGGAGGAACGTGCTTTGAATATCCCAGGCTCCGTTAACAATTTTGCGTTGAGATGGACTTTTCTGGTGAGCATCTCGACCACTTGCTTCATTGACGGTCTCTGGTTTGAAGCCGCTTGTGTACAAAAGAGTGCAACTGTAATGAAGCGCATAATCTCGTCATCAGGACAATTTGTTAGGTCCGGATCAACGACATCTAGTAGCCTTTCTTCGTCTTTGAGCTTCCATGACTACAACACAAGAGCGACGTTTTAGACACAAAGCAATATCTTCTATCCACGTTGTAGAGCTCAAGTAACGATTGCTATAGCTTTGCGGAGCGACTTATGCATTTTTTGTGCACCCGTGCAATATAACACGATGCAAGATTGCTTACTAAAAATAAAATTTGAACTTTATGTACAAATAAAAATAAAAATTACAAGGTAGTGGTTGAACATATCTGCTAACTTGTAGACCCGGTAAAAAAAACCCTAAAAAAATATATTGATATTGGTGTCAAAATAAAGATTATAAAATATTCGGTTTTTGATATAATTTGTTTAATTCAAAATAAAATTATAATTAAAATATTTCAAATTTAAAAATTAACGTGTAAAGAGAATGATGTCGTATTAATAGAACTCAATGGTATTTGAATCAAACCACAAGGGTGGTGCCTGATTTGTTTGAGCTTGACTCCAAAGGTCAAAAGTACCACGAAGTCTCAGGTTCAAATCCATGGAGGAATAAAAATCCCTTTGTGGCCACGAAGGTTCAAATGCGGTGACTCCGGGCTATCTGCAAAGCAGGTGGTCGGCCCTGGGATTAGTCGGCTGGCATAGTGGGTTGGATATCCAGGTTAATAAAAAAAATGGTATTTGAATCAGTTGTTTATTATTTAGTTTTATGGAGTTTAAAAAACTATACGTATGCAAAATGACCTGTAAATTTGAATTTTAAAGTAAATATGCACTATTAAGTCATATCTAATGCTTAATAAGTTGTTTTTAGGACTTCTTTTTCTAAGTGGGTGTTTGGGATTGCATATCTGAAACAACTTATGTTTTTCTGTAAAAGTGCTTATCAACTATTATTAAGTTAGAATGATTTAACTTCTTCAAAAACTCCTTATTACCGATTTGTCACCGGTATAAGCTGTTTATCCAAACACTCAAAAGTGTTTATTACCGGTGTCACACAGGAATAAGTCAATAAGTTGTTTTTATAAGCTATCCCAAACACCCCCTAAATGCTTTATAATACAGTATCGATATTAGCCAAGAATCGTACCCATTCAACCACACCCAAGAGATCCTCGCTGAAAGCCGCCTTACTGCTACTTCTACCGCTTATGATTTCAAGCATAAGTACCCCAAAACTATATACGTCCGCTTTCTTTGTAAGTTGTCCTAATAAGGCGTACTCGGGAGCCAAATATCCCCTGTCACGAAATCATATTCAAGAAAATCAAATCAAACGAACCCAGTAATCAAAATTCCACGCAAATAAATTCAGATTCGAGCACCAAATCAATGCCAAAAAAAGCGGCAGAATAGGATCAACCATTTCTTACACTGTTCCGGCAACTCGAGTGCTAAGATGAGTGACATTGTCAGGGAAAAGTTTTGCGAGTCCAAAATCTCCTATTTTGGGATGAAAGCTTCCATCAAGAAGTACATTACTTGCCTTTATATCTCGATGGACAATATGTGGTTCAGCTTCCTCGTGAAGAAAAGCAAGACCCGCGGCCGTGCCTTCGCATATGCTAGCCCGTGTAGCCCAATCTAGGTCTATGTGTTTGCCTCTCGAACCTACGATTGAATAACATCACATATGGGTTTCACTCCATACATCGTGCACCACATGAAAATATAAACTAAATCAACCAAACGTATATCCCACTCGAAAGTAGGGCCTGAGGAGATGAGATGTATGCAGACATGTCTTTTACCCCAAAGGATAAAGCGATTGTTTCCCCCAACACCCCTTAGATCGAAGTGAAAATCTTGGAGTCAATTGCCTGATTTAAGTGGTTCCTTTTAATTTATGGAAATTAGTAGATGGAATTACATTACCAAGTAAAGCGCTAGCGAGACTGTTGTTCTCGAGGTACTCGTATACCAAAATCCGATTACCATCCTCAATACAACAACCAATGAGTTGAACGAGGTTGGGATGTTGGATGCTCGAGATCAAATTAATCTCCGTCAAGAATTCAATGGTCCCTTGCTTGGATTCAGCCGAAAGAGACTTGACAGCAACATGAGTATCATCTCTCAGAATTCCCTGTACACAAAACCAAACCAAACCAAACCAAACCAAACTAATCCAGTAAGTCCCACATGGAGTAGGATCTCGATCTATTTACTCAATGTTATCGGGATCATACCTTGTAGACAACCCCAAAACCACCTCCACCAATCTTATTTGATGGGTGAAAGTTTCGTGTAGCTGATCTCAACGAATTATAGGAGAACTGTTTAACGTTGTTGGTGGCAATCTCTAAATCAAGCAAAAAACGACATAACGTAAGCATACAAAAGAGGAATTTCTTTAACAAAAGGGAAAAATTCATTCGGATTAAGATTCTCTTTTACATGCACAAACACTCGTCAATTAACGTCCTTGACCCTACCACCCCTTGTGTATTAAGGAAACATCCTCTCTACCCCTTGAGACAGAGATAGAGGTAAATTCTGCATGCATCTTATCCTCCCAAAACCAAATAAACACATGTTGTCTCCAAATTCTCTGTCCCCTCCTGTCCACCAATTATTGGAGAGAGCGAAGTAAAAGATGAATTAAATAAATTTAAAATTAAATAAAAATGATGATACGTCTTCCAATAATTGGTGCGTATATGGAGGGGACACGGAATATCCTACTTCTGTGTGGGATTTCTTGTGTCAGATTCTAGGTAACCGTCAATTGGTAAGATTTAGGTGCCGTTTACCAAACACTTACCCGGGTAAGCGCTTACCAAGTCGCTCTACTTTACCGGATGAATATGGCAAGGACTAAAAATCTTACCGGTAAGAGCGAATGCAAGAATCAAGAGTCTTACCCGGTAAGTGAGGACGCGGACTCTTACCATGGTTAGCGCTTATCGGGATAAATTGTTGCATACGATGCGTTTTAGTGAATAAAATCTTACTCGGTAAGTAAGCAATAAGTGTTGAATTTTACCGGTAAATGCTTTCCGGGTAAGTGTTTAGGTAAACGGCCCCTTAGCCTAGTCTGGGACCATAATTCACATTGTGTTTCAATCTTTTATACAAAAGGGCACCAAGAACACACAAAAAGGCTCATGAAACAGAATCCATTAAACCATAAAAATCACTTAGGGCAGTTTATCAAACACTTACCTGGTAAGCGCTTAACGGTAAAATATTAACACTGTCACTTACTTTGCGGGTAAGATTTTAGTCCACCAAAACAGCATCATATGCAACAATTTGCCTAGTAAGCTCTAAACATGGTAAGAGTCGTCTCCATCACTTGCTGGGCAAGACCCTCCATGCTTGACTTTGCTACCGGGAAAAATTCTTGGTATTTACCATATTCATCCGATAAGGTAACATTACTTAAATTTATGCAATTGGATAAAAAAAAAATGCTTCTAAACTATTCATCTTCTTCCCATAAGCCATTTTAAAGAATGGACAGTAGCTGTCCTTTATATACAAACTATTGCTTTTCCAATTATAATAAGTAACACTAAAATCTAAAGATGAATCCACACCAGTTTGTAATACAAACAAACACACCACTTATATATATATATATATATATATATATATATACACACACACACACACACACACATATATATATATATATATGTTTGTGTATATATGAACAAGGAAAAACCCATGTGAAAGAATCTTACCATCTGGAGTCTTTCCACTTCTTGCTTTACATGAATCAAAAGCGCCAAAACAACCAATACCCATTGCACCACTATCAATTACCCAAATATGATTTTCCCCAAATATTCAATTTCCACCATATCTGTTTCTTCGACAAAATTAAAACAAAACCCACAGCATGACCTAAAAATCAAGACAAGGGTATGCGATATCTGGTTATATCAGGAACGAAAATCAATGAAATTACAGTGGAAATAAACCGAGAAATCAAAGCCTAAATTGATGGATATTTGAGATTTCAAGAGAACCTAAAAGACGATGGGGGATAGAGCAAAGAAACCCTGTAAAAGGCGAACAGAGGTTGGAGTAGGCCATGTATGATTTTGATATATCACTATTTGTATTTAATTTGAGTCAATTCTTAATTGGTTACAGATATTTAATGATAAATTATTGAGATGGGGAAATGGTTTCTTATGGGTAGGGGAATTTGACAATGAGAGATGGGGAAAGGCAAACACAACACAAAGCAAGGATCGATTCTTTAAAAACATTTTATTATTGGTTTGGCATCGGTATAAGTTGTTTATTCAAAGACTCAAAAGTGTATATTACCGGTGTCACACTGAAACAAGTCAATAAATTGTTTTTATAAGCAATCTCAAACACCCCATAAGTTTGTGTAAAATGATTTGTAATTGGCAATTCTTGAACCGATCCACAACTTTTCGTCTCTAGAGATAAAACGGGTCTTATAGACAGTTCATCTGTTCTTAATTTTCAACGGGAATCAAAAAAGAAATTGATCCATTTCTAGTCCTCTACTAGTTGGATTAATGGTTCGTCCAATTAGAAATAATAACATAATGCATAGGTTGTTAGAAGAAGTTCTAACATACATATACATATTGTATACCACCTAATTACCCTAATGAATTAACCCATGCTTAACTAGCCAACCGGACCAAAACCTGTTGTCTTACCACTTGGCTATGCCCCATTTATATTTTTATTGGACATTAATACTAATAAAGAATAATATTGGTATTAAGTGTTCGTCAATTCCAATCCACAAAATATTCTAGATCCCAACACCCAGTGCCAGATACAAGCATTTCCGCTTAGATCCATTTGTATAAAGAATCTGGGTCAATCCCGACAAAAACATCTCTAAACGAGTTCCTAGAGATGGTTAAAATATCAAATCAGTTAAACAGTTATATGTAGGTGACTAGTTTAAGAGTCTAGTGCCTACAAAGAGTAAAATCCCCAAAATAATTGTAAATTCTCATATTGTGGTAGTGTCGTTAGGGGTGTTCATCGACCGGGTCAGGCGGATTTGGGTGGAAAAACAAAAAATCCGATCAGATTTCGGATATGGAAACCAATCCTTGAATTTTGGTTTTCGGATTTCAGATTGTTTCGGATACAAACAAGTTGGGATCGATCGGGTGCGAGTATAGTTATATGCAAAAAAGATATTATTCAACCAATTGATAGAATTGATAAAACTGATAGTAAGTTTGGAAATTAGAAAAGTACGGTCAATTAGGATTTAAAATTTTCCAAAGATAAATTAGATACATAAATATATTTTTATAATATTTTAAATTATATATATGTATATTTCGGGGTTTCGACAGGTCGAATGACCAAAAATCAAATCCCAAACCCAAATATCCATCAAAAAGTCGGGTTTTGGATTTCCGAATTTTGAGTCATTCGAGTTTTGCACAAACACCTCATTTATTGTTTGAGTTTCGGGCTATTCGAATATTACACATCTCTAAGCAGTTGTTTGTTTCCCTCTTAATAATTCTATTAAGAGACAGTATCTGAATCATTAGGAGATGAATATTGTTTGGCAAAAAAAAAATCTGTCTGTTAATGGTTCTAAAATACTCTGAATGATTTTGTATCTTGGGTCTCCCTTAACCATTTAACACCTTAATTTCATTCTAAATAATTACCAGATAATTATATTTTATTTTGCATTATATTATAAAAGTTTTTTTAATTATTTTAACCACTTAATCAATTTATATCAAATCATTCAGTAACTACTAAACAATGTCCGACTAACTCAAACTTTGTGACTATTCGTGCAAATATAAATCTCTACACCAATTGCGCTTATGAATTTTCACACCTATGATTAAATAAAATAACGGTATTTTAAAGGGTGATGGCAAAGAAACCTTCTAGAATCAAATATATAAATAATGGATTAGTTTCTTTCATTCACTTAAATATGATTATTATATGAATATTTTTGGTTGGGTATTTACTATCAAATTAAATATTATTTATTAAAACCCATCAATTTCAAATCTATTAGAAGAGTGTTCGCATAATATAGTAAGAGATATTCCAAATTTAATGTTTTATTTTATTATTTATTTATGTAGATATAATACGGTTTTTAGTAATTTTGAGAAAACGATAATGTTTTTATTTTTGAATAAAATATGAATTTAAATATATCATAAAAATTTGGAAAAAGGAATTAATATTAGTATTAAAAATTCTGAGTTTTTATGTAATTTCTTTAATTTAATATTTTATTTATAATTTAATATAGATTTAATAATGAAATAATTTATTTATCTTTTAATAATATAATTTTTATAAAGATAATAATTAAATATTTAGTTATAACTAATGATTATCCGAATTATATTTTAGATTTTCTATATTCAAAATGATATGTCTATTTCGTATTTGATTATGTTTATCTATAGTTACTTATACAAATTCAAAATGAAACTTTAATAAGTTGTACTTATGCACAATTTACTTGTGATCTTGAATTTTAAGTAATATAAATTAAAAAACAGTATTTTATGCATAAAAAATAATTTTTATAAATTCTTGTCAAACATTTTATAATATAGTATAGATATGATTAAATCTTGGTAAACATAAATACATTTATATGAGATTTCTAATTCTTTTTCTTTTTAATAATTACAAGAATAATTTTATTTAACTAAATTTCATGTGTTACTTTATAATTTTGTTACATTTTCGTTGTTTTAATTTATAAGACTTTCAATATAATATATGATAAGAGTTTATATATATTTTTAACTCGTCGAATCGGTCTATATTTTGATAAATATGTAATATGACTTCCAAAAATATTGGAACGACCTTGTATCATTCATGATTTTGTTATTCTTGATTATAAGGTTATGCTAAGCTTAACTTCGATGAAGCATAAAATTTTATGATGGTAACAAGTTTAGAACAAATTTCATCAAAACTGAAATCAACTTTGATTTCATTCATATTTTATCGAAATTAACTTCCAAAACTTCTCGTTCAAGAAACTTGATAACCAAGTTCATGCTCTCTAAAATAAGAATGTTGGTTTTATTCAAAGCAAGTTTTGAAAGTCGGTTTCTCAAAATCAAGATTTTAAGAAGTAAATATACATTAAATTTAAATATTAATCTAAAAAACGTAAGTATCTCTTGTAACACAGCTAGCACATGAAAACATCTCCAATAGATACTCTAAAATAGAGATTTTGGGATTTTTACTTCAACAAAACCTTCTTCAAAATGGAGAAAGTAGTCAGAGAGGATGGAATTCTCCAAATTTAAAGGATTTTCCGAAAATCATTGTTTAGGTAGAGAAATGGTTTTTTATTCTTCCTACCGATGAGAATATTTGAAATTAAGGTGGCGTTTTCGTTCACAGAATGAAATCTGTTGGAATTGGAATATGAAGGAATTAGAAAATGAATTTAATTATGTTTGACCATACATTTGGTTAGTAAGAATTAGAATGAAATCTATCAAAATAATTTGAATCTGTCTAATTGGTTGGATGAATATAGTAGTGGTGGGGTGGATGGTGATGTTCGTAGTGGTGGCAATGGAGGTGGTAGTACTAGTGGTGCTAACGATAGTGGTCCTGCTGTTGGTGCTGATGTGGTGGTGGTGGGTGAAGGCGATAGTGGTAACAACGATGATGATGGTGGCGACGGAGGTCATGACGGTGGTTGCGGCGACGATGACATCCATCATAGTGGGTTGGAATGGAGTAAATTTAAGAATAGAATAGTTTTTCTAAAAAATTGGTATGGAGGAATTAGAATTCCTTGCTAGAACCAAAGTATTTACATTCAACCATATGTGGAATTCGAATTTCTTCCCACAATGCAAAGAATGAACTAAATGCATGTAAAGAATTTGGTTGACGAAATCGACCATCAGATTACTTCAAATTCCGTGGAATTACAATGAACCAAACGCCACCTAAATGGGTAGAAAAAAGAAATAATATTTTATAAATTGAATTGAAAATATTTTAATAATATAATTCATATTGCAGTCTCCAAAGTGGATAATTTCTTGGAGATGAACATAGTTTTTTTTTTTTTTTTTTTTTTTAATATTTTGATTTTCGATTCTTTATTTTGAAGAGTTTGTTGCAGATGATCTAACATTATATCGATGAACCATAAATTTATATATCTATACTATATTATAAAGCATCTGACAAAAATTCTTAAAAACCACTTTTTATGCATAAAATACTGTTTATTGATGCATATTACTTAAAATTCAAGATTACAAGTAAATTGTGCATAAGTACAACTTATTAAAGCTCTCTATGTTTGAATTCGTGTAACTAACTGCGGATAAACATAATCAAATAGAGGATAAACATCTCATTTTAAATTATAAAAAATCTAAAATATAATTAGGATAATTATTGAGTTCTAACAGAATACTTAATTATTATCTTTATAAAAAATATATTATTAAACCTAAATTAAGTTACTTCGTTACGCTAAATTAAATTATAATAAAAATTTTGAATTAAAAAAATACACAAACAATAATTTTTAAATTATTAATTTGATACTAATATTGATATACTTTTTTGCAAATTTTATGTGATATTTTTAAATTTATATTTTATTCAAAAATAGAAACATTATTGTTTTTTCAAAATCATATAAAATCGTATGACATCGACATGGATAACAAATAAAACGAAACATTGAAATGAAAATGTGTGTCGATACATTGTACGAATACCCTTCTACATTTTCATTAAAAAAATGTTAAATCGATTAGCCATACGAAGACGTTGCATTTAGTTTTTCTCGGTTATTGGTGCAACCAAAAGTTGAATGATAATTAACTTTTGATTAAATTTTACTTTTGGTCCATTTGTTTGTCACTTACTATCAAATCTTGTCATGTTCTAAAATAAGTACACTTTTAGTTAGTGCGATTCTCATTTTGTTTTGAATTTGATCCCTCTGACTAACTTCGTTAAATGTATTTTGGACTTTTTATTCTTTTTCG